ATATAACCTTAAGAATCTTGGGAATACAGTAAATCCACAAGGTTGTTCAGCCTAAATTTAGGCAGCTTTTTACCATTTTTTGTAATTTTGCTGTGTCTTTTGCTCAGCATCAATACACGTCTCTGTGCACTTGAACAGGATTGCTGCAAGATTTTAAAGGACAGAATACACTAGAATCAGCTCTAAACATCAGCCAGGTTTCTTTAGGCCCGTTTTACTCCTCCTAATATTCAAATGAGTCAGTACAATCCACACAGCAGATAGAAAGCTGGAACTAATAAAAAACCCTCTACTCGGAGTGCTCTAACTTTAGAAGTTCTAACGTGTCTGAAGGCTGTGAAGATTTCCATTAGACTCATTTAGTTTCTGGACCACTGCGAAACATATGACCTAACTCAAGCTCAACTTAATGCCTGAAGCTTTAGCGGCTGCAGAGGGTAGAAGAGCTTCAAGTCTCATATCCTGAAAAGGCAAATATCAACTTCAGTTGTCCTCTACGGACTAGTGAACATATTTAGCAAAAAGGTTGGTAATGACAGACACCATTTTTAAACATAAATTGTTCAGACCCTAGCAGACGCCTACCTTTGTTAGCACGTCAAAACAATTTGATGAAGTTATGATGAAGCTCCTCCCTTTGCAAGCTGCTATCTTGATTACCTTCTCTGGATTACTCTCATCATTATCTCTGCTCTTTCTGTTGGCTTCCCACTCCCGCATGGTTCCTGTTGCTAAGTGCTAAGGACTGTCAGCCTGGTAATTTCAACTTTGCATCTCCTTTCCATGTGCACTTGCTTTGGCATCACTGGCCTTTGCAGTGCAATCCATGAAGCTGAATTTAACGTGACATTACTTAAATTAATTTTGATGTTGAAATGCAGTTTCTGCGGTCCTTCATCATGCAATTGTCTTGACAACAGATTTGCATAATCAGTGAGTAGGAATTTGTTTTTAATTTTGATGTTCATATTAGCTTGATTCAGATGAATATTGTACAGTTGTGATGATAACACAGCATGGCATGAACTGGTGAAAAATGATTGTAAACAGAACAAATAGGACAAATGATGGAGTCAAGTTCAGTGGTTATTTTTATAAAATGTAAGCAAATACCATTTCTAATTTCTGTCATCTTGCACAGTGACAGCTGTTTGAAATCTGAACATATGTATTTATTCAAATATTAGTCATTCTGACTGCTTCCCAAACAAAGATAAGGAAGATTATTAATTTTTTTGTGCTAAAGATTAGTGATACAGAGAGACAGGAGACTCTCCCAACTCGTACTTCAATCCTTCTGTTTTTCTTTCATTCCAGAGGCTACCCTCTGGACCTGCACCTTTGTCATCATGTAAGGGAATAATTCACACTTTTAAAATTAGATTTAACGTAAAGGATAGTTCTGGGGAAGAAATTGTGTGGAACTCCTCCTGCTCCCGCAGTCCCCTGGCTTTCACCTCCCTCCTTCCATCCCTAATTTACTCCCTCCCTTACAGTAGAAGACTGAGGTGAGAAATAGCAGCCATTAAGGCAAACTAATAATAACATTGCTGATTACCTACTCTAGAATTTTTTTTTTAAAGTGCTCCAGCACATCACTACTACTTGCTTGAGGAGAGACTCTCCTTTTCCAGTCATCTCTGTAGAGCAGGACTTGAATAATGTGGGGCCAGTGAAAACAAAAAACATTAATTTACACCTCTCGGGAAGTGTTCCCTCAATAAGGGACCAACGGTCTAGAGAAGAAAGGCTGCTTAAATCTGTCCTTTTAGGGGATTTGCCTGAGTAGCAATTTGTATAGTGGGACTGGAAGAGATTAGTGGAGGATGAGTCATGAAATATGCTAAGAAAAGAAAGAAAGAGAAGAATGCCGAAGAGCACAGAAAGAAGTAAGAAAGAAATAGAAATGACAAAGGCAAGAGTATGAAAGTATATTTTGAAGGCCAGAATCACGAGGGAAAAGAACATATTCTAGAGACAAAGTAATCATGAGATAAAGGTGTCAACTGGGAAAGGCAGAAGTACCCAGAAAGTAGTCAACCAGAGCAATTAAACTGATAGTAGGTAAAGCACACAAAGTATAATAGAAGATAGAAACCACAGACAGCAGAAGAAAAGAAAAAGACAAAACAAAGTTTAATTTAAATGAATTTCAATAAAATACATTTGGGGGCATTTTTTATTTAGTTGACCTGGGATAGAATGGGCAAAACAGAAATGGAGCAAGGTTATTTCATACCTGCTAGAGTAAAAGGGCACAATGAGCTACACTTGTCTTTCTGGGAGAAGACAAATGACAGTATAGACAGTCAAGAGGGTTAGCTCCTGAGTCCTTCATTTTTATGCTCTTTTCCTAAAGTTATGAGGACAGCTGCATATTCTCATTATGCAGGAAGAAAAAACTGTCTGGCTTACCCCACCTCGAACAAGAAGTGAAGCTGAATAGATGAAAAAATACACTAAGCTTCTAAATGTTCCTCAGTATCATTGTTGTGATAGAACACACTAACTTTAAAGTGCAGTGGAATACAATGGCTGTTAAAGCTTTTGCTTTTTTTTTTTTTTTAAAGTGAACTTAATCTCTTTGTTTTTGTTTGTATTCTGTACTCAGAATTTCTCAGCGTTTATGTGCTTTGATATAAGCATGTTAGTGTAGTAAATTCTATCCCACTTGGATTTTATGTTCTTCAAAACCTTAGTAATATGTATGGCACAATCATTTCTGCAGTAAGAGTATTATTTTACCCAAATCAAGCCAAGATTTGAGTAATAACTTTTACAAAGTTGGTCAGCAGTCTCTTCAGCTTTTCAGGCAATTGACTCTACTAGGTAAGCGCACAAATACCCTGTGTGAAGTAGGCATATCTAAAATAGCTTTGATGATTAGATTATTTATAATTGTATTACCTACAAAAACAATGAAAAATATATTTTTGAGTACTACAAAAATGTGCAGAGAACAGTATTGACTGCATTAGTAGCATTCAGTAGGCAGTGATGTCACATTTTGTTTTGCTCTTTACATCAGTCTGTTTCTTTTGGTAGCTGTGTCATATTCTGGGTAGTCTTACTTGCAATAATGGATAGAGAATTAAGAAGGCTCTGTAAAATAGTCAGTGGCCACTTAAGCATACACCATCTTTTTCTCTGTGAAATTCCCCCTGGACTTTTAGTACAGGACGGAAGCTATTCTGTGCCAATAGTTTTAGAAAGAAGGGGGAAGGATCCAACTGAATTAGACAGAACAACCACTGGCCATTTCTTTCTTCCTTCTCAGTTACGGTCTTCCTAGTTTCAGAGATTTGAGAAATTCAGTGTCTCCATTACCCTTGGCTTCTTGGTCAGATGTTTTAGGTAGCAGATGGGAGGAAGACTTTTGAATCCCCTCCTCCATTTCTTCCTTTCTCTCAAATGCTGAGTTTCTCAGTGATACTTATGGCAGGAAAGAGCTGGAAACAAGTCGTTTCCACAGCTGATTTTCTGCTAGGCCAGATGTTACTGGAGAGTTATTGTAAGGACCCTGTCCCACACCTCCTCCATACTGGGAGGTCTTGTACAGGGCAATTAGGACTCAAGTTCACCTCTCATCCCTGAATAAGGGCATGGACATGGCAGTTAGGGCCAAGGAGTCTCAGTTGAGGACTCTTCCCTTACTTTGGATGGAGTTTTACCTGGCTGTCATAATGGAATGTATCAGTTTTGGGGATAATCCAAAAATATTTTTCTATCTGATTACATTTCTAATTACTTGGATATTAGTTACACTAACAAAAAATAGAGAAAAGCAATTGTGTGAATAATTGAACAACTGCTTAAGCAAAGTGTTTTGCTACTTACATTACTTTTTTAATTTTAAAATGTAGCAGGCAGGATTCTCCAGCTACAGGTGTTGTAAAATTTTTATAAATAATTGTTATCAGCAATAGTACTAGGTTAGTTTGGTTCTACTTGGAATGAGCAGTTTCAAGTAAGGAAAGAGGGAGATAGTGGATGCATTTGTGTGAACAGAAGAGTAATTTAACAAGTGGGTTCCCAAAATATTTCTCATTCAGCCTTCAACAAACCCAAACAACTCAGAAAACAGTGTTTTCAGAAAAGAAGCAAGAGACCTGTTCCCCTGTAAATTTGAAAATAATTTAATGTAACTATGACTAAAATGAAAGGTAACAGTATTTGGCAAACTTACTATAAGCGTAATTCCCTAGAAACATTTTTATTTTGTATTTGATAAAAGTATGATACCATACCTGGGAAATGCAGCTCTCTAGTGAATAGATAAGATTTTACTTCATTTGTTTTTTCTTTCCTTTTTTTTTTTTTAAGTTTGTGTTGCATCAAAAAGAAAACTCTTTAGAAGTACATTCATGAGCTTTGTGGATAAATCTGATCTGGTGGGACTGGTTTGGCTTTCTTGACAAAATAAAAGAAAATACATTCAGTTAGTAGCAGGATTTTTAACACAGCTCTTGTCCAAAAATACTTGACTTTCCCTCCTGCACATCATTAAATGCTGAAATTAAACTGTGTGCAGCCCATAACAATACACCTTCAATTTAGTGTATTTCACTAGTCTGTACTGCTATGATTGATTTTTTGAGTACAAAAGCTTTCATCACCACGTGATCTTCTACAGAACTTTACAGCTTTTTTAAATAACACAAATTGTTCCTTAGTATGTAGTATACTTAGATAAGCTTGTTAAAAGCATATTTGTATGCTGCTGAAAGACCTACATGAACTACGAATGATTTTGATGAGGGCCTAAATTGTTTAATTTATCTGGAAATTCTATTCCTGGTAAACTCCTTATTCTGAAACATATACCATTGGAGTGAATAAATGAATCAATAGATCTTATCACAAAAAATTGGATTGTGAATATGATAAAACAAAAAAGCTCATCTCATAAGATAATATACTAACAGTTCTTGCCCAAAGTTTCATGTTCTCAAATTCTTTCTTAATCTCAAGAGAAGTCAAAGTGAATGGTTTTGTTTCAGGAACTGCAGTTTGAGAGACTGACTCGAGAACTTGAGGCTGAACGTCAGATTGTAGCAAGCCAACTGGAGAGATGTAAGCTTGGATCAGAAACTGGAAGCATGAGCAGCATTAGGTAATGTACGAATTGCTAATTTATTTGCTCTGGTAATGAATTAACATGGAAAACAAATTGTATTGTTCATCATCTTGTAAAAAATCATACAGGAGGGAGCATGAGGTTTTAGTAGAGTTTGAAAATTTGCGTTTTGACCCGATTTTTTTTACAGAAAATTTCAAGAAGATGAATTTCTGTGCAATCTGGTATCTGATTTATCCAGTAATAAAATGGTAGTCACATCTGCAGTTCATTGACTTGCTGTAGTCTGACTAGATTAATGCCAAAACTCCCATTTCCGCTACCAAAACAGCTACCATTTTCAGCCAAAACCTTTTTAGCTTCATATTTGCAGATATATTGATAAGTATGTAAACCTATTTTCTTATCATTCCATCATTCAAAGCAATAAAAGCTTTAGAGATCATTTCAGCTGCTTATACAACATAATGTGATTACCTAAAGCTGCTGATCTCACATCAAAATGTAATGATAAAGTAAGAATCTCCCTCTTTTTTTAAAAGACTGGCTTTCTTAGATTATTCTGGCATGTTAGTTGGATGATGATGGAATTCTTAGAAGAAATTGTTGTAACAAAAGGATGCTGATCTCTTGGTCCGTGTGGTGAGAGTAAAGATTTTGTAGTTTTGAGCTTTTTGATGGTAGTTTGTTTTCTCAGGTGAGCCTTGTAAATTAAAGATTGTATTATTTCAATTTCAAGGATAAAAAAAAATGTATTGCATGACAATTTCAGCAGAAAAGCCAGTTCCAAAGTCACTTTATATAAAAATTAGGCACCCCTGAACAGACATATCTTCTCTTTTCTTGATAAGTGTGATATCTTTCTAATGCATAAGATGAAGTATGATATGCCAAGCTTAGTAAAGTTTTGTGTGGTATTAGTAGAAAAACTACAAAACTATCTGTGACTATTGTAATAAACTCTTCCTTAGTTGAAGCAATTCAAGCTGCTCCTCAATCAAATAAATGATTATTTTCCAGGATAAGTAGGAAATAATTACTCAGTAGAATGCCAAAGCTGAAAAAAAAGGTGAAAGTAACGGTTCAATTAAAATGGCAGAAGGCAGAAAAATCTTTCACTAATTCAGCAGAATCGGTCCATGAAGTTGACCCAACTATGAACAGTCTCAACAATAAATTGAGAATTAATTTCCTAAAGAGAAAAGCATTTTCATGTATTCTGTATATTCTTTCCTGCCAACTATTTTAATACTAAAATATGTTAACATTATGTTAACATTATATTAACATTAGAGAAACCACATTGCTTAGAGTTATTTAAACACTGATTAGGTAGCATTTTTGCAGAGCGCTACAGTATTACACTTGCACTTAAGTGCATTCCCACATCCTTTTAAACTTAATTCCTTTGAGATTATAGATTCAGGTTCAGTGAAGATTAATTCTGTTCTATGGCTTTTTATAATTAATGTTGCGTGAGTGCATGTTAACACTTACATTTTATTTGCTTTCCTACTTTAAACAATGAATTTCAGGCTAAAAATCTCAAGTCATGAGGATAGTTTTAAAAAAGTAGTTTAAGTCTTCAATTATATTAAGAGATTTCATTATGTGAACGTTTACATTAGGAACAGAAGATTTTTGAGGTTAAAATAATTTTATTTTATTCTCATTCATGTGAAAAAATGAGAAATTCACAAAATATCACTGTTTCTTACTGGGAAGATTATTTATTGCCCCCTATCTGAATCTGAACATCATGGCAGCCTCCCCGTGAGACTGATCACTGTGTTGGGACAAAGGGACAGGGCTCATCAGAGGAGGGGTAGACTTATGGCTAGCAAATGAAAGCTGAAAGGACCTGGGATACACAATATCTTCTTAGTCCAGTATTTGGGAAAGCTGGTACCATCTGAAGTAGCCATCTGGATTTTAATATCTCTGTCTGTCATATTTTTAATAGAACTTTTTAATATCTGTAAATGGAGCATACTTATGGTTGCTATTGTAGTCAGCAGATGCAAATAACAGCCTAACATGGCTCTCTGTTTATCTCTGTCTAGCTTTTGTTTTCCCAACTGCAGAGCTCTGTTTGATGAATGTGAAAGTTTCATAGTAGAGATAGAGAGGCCGCCTCCTTCTTCCTTCTTAGAATTTCATTATAGGAAGTTCTACGTTATGCTTTTCAAGGTTTGTCCTTCAGAGTCTTGTGTCTGCCCTCTCTGAGTGCACGCTGCATGGTTCTCTGATTCCATCAGCAGACATCAGCCTAGCTCTGAGAAGAGGGGCAGCCATCAGCTGCTACATATAGTGCTTCTTTCCAAAGTTGAGTGTGGGGAAAATGCAGAGGAAGTAGCTTAAAAGGAAAGATAGGTTATCCTTCTTGCATACTGCAAAGAGTGAAATCTTGTGTCTGCCCTCTCTGAGTGCACGCTGCATGGTTCTCTGATTCCATCAGCAGACATCAGCCTAGCTCTGAGAAGAGGGGCAGCCATCAGCTGCTACATATAGTGCTTCTTTCCAAAGTTGAGTGTGGGGAAAATGCAGAGGAAGTAGCTTAAAAGGAAAGATAGGTTATCCTTCTTGCATACTGCAAAGAGTGAAATAAAATTAAAAAAAAAAAAAGCATTTTGCAGAGGAAAGAGGGGTTATAGGAACAGGGC